AGCATCTGCCAGAAAAACCAGTGCCGTTAGCGACAAAAATCTGCGGGGAGCTATGCAAAAAAAGCGCCTTCGCACAGGCAGCCCGTGCGTTGGCCAATTATTAATTTTGATAAAACATTTTATATTTATCATCACTAAAACTTTTTATGCATTTTTCCATATTTATTCAAGTGCAAAAAATATGCTGTCAAGAGACTGCCGACGTGTGTGTATATGCTAGGAAGCAAGTGAACCCTTTCAACCACTTTTTATTCAGCAACGCTGAAAGCTGGAAAGCTGAAATTTTAGGCCCATATTCTCATGTTATGTGCCACATTTCCAAAAATAACTTTCTTGTGTGAAAAAGTATCATATACAGATTCCTGGAAAAAAAGATTTAAAATTTTTGGTGTGAATGGAATTTCAGGAGGCGGCCAACTTAGGAAGTGTATCTTTGCAACAGTTTCCCCTATTGCACATAGTTGCGCCACTTACACGGTCACGCCTAGTCCTGCAGCTTGCACCGTGCCAACTCGGGAACTAGCCGAAAAACAGTTGCTGCGATTTTGCCAGATTATTATCCAACTGAAGACTCGTGTGCGTGAACGGAGCTTCGAATTACACTTGCACCACGCTTTAAGGGCGTCAAAGATATTTATAGCAAAGTGGCAAGTTATGAAGCTGAAATTTTACAAGGATGTTCTGCACTCACAATGTGTGAGGAAATTCCCTGCTTAATTCCAACTCAGTCTCAAAAGAGAGTTCATTTCGCTCTGACTTCGCCATCCTTCTCTCTCGGCTTCCTGATCACTGTTCAATTTTCATTTTCAGTGAAAGGTCGTGTCAGCGAATTTCCTAGTTTCTTTCACGCAAAATTTACGGATGCTGGAGGTTGTGATTTCACGCAGTCTCATAATGCAGCACCACCATCCCAGCCGATTTCCTTTCTTCCTGCATACATGAACAAAGGCTGGAACGCACCAGGCGAGCCGGTGCGATCATGCGCTTTTGCATCAAAACTAAAGTAA